AATTCGTCGTTAATGCGCTGTCTTTGGTCAGAACTTGCTTCGTTTGCAACAACTTACACAAGCTACCGAAATATGCGTCCGAGAAGCGCGCACGATAAATTTGTAGAAGTCTGGCAAATCGCCAAGTCGCGTGAAAATGGCGATTCTGCCGAATCGCGTGAGGTATGTCTTAGGCCTTGTGCGCTCTGCGACTAATGAAACGCGTTCGCGCCCAAAGATATTGCGCATTCGCCATGCAGCAGCCTATAAGGTGGAATTTGTTGTGCGTCGCACATTTGTACTCTTGTAGGGCTTCTGCGGATTAACAGATTCAAAAAATTCATGCGTGCACGTTTAACAGGCTCAAACATGTTTGTGCTCTTATTCAAATCTGTTGAATATTTCAGAAGAGAGAAAAAATGAGCTTCAACATGTTGAACATACCACATCACGATTTCGATTCTGCTAGTTAGGCCAATCAAATAAACCGTCTTGAATTAGGGTACTTGATATTGTTGCACACAATTTATAAACGAGTTTGAACCTGTCCCTCTCTAATTACAAAAAGTTAATCATCCTAGATGTCACTAGTAACCTTCTAACCACACGACAAGGCGACGTCCACACAAGATCTAAGCCCATCCGACTACTACATGTAGGCTCCGGGAGAGGGGCATCTGCGTTGGTCCGGTTCTCCAATGTCATCTCGAATGGAGATAAAGGGCCTGAAATCCACATTAGTGCTGTCAAGCCACGCCCACTTCATCAAGCTCCACCCACCCAGGCACTGAAAGGCGTCTGTGCCTTCAGTATAACGATTCGCAAAAATCGGGTTTTTGGGGGTTTCATTTGGGGCTTCATAACTGTAATCAGGGCCCCGGGAAGGTCCCATAATGACTGAGACATGGAGGGCGCAATTTTGAGTGAACGCTGCCTTTAAGCTTGTTCGGATGATTTCTGCGAAATTTGGCTGTATATTGCAGCTTTCTTAATCTAAATAATGATGTTTCCCTTGCAACCTTCGTAATAGATAACCGCTTTCTGCATTACATCAAGTAGTGGACACTGCTTTCTAGCTCAAATTCTCCTTATCAACTTGGTAATTAGTGGGTTTAACGACGTCGTTCTTTGTCCTTGTGCGATCTATCGGTAGCGACTTGTTGATTCGTTTTCACTGCCGTTATCGTCTATTATGCGATAGTGACTGTTATGTATAGTGACTGTTATGTTTGAGCTAGCTCTTCGCAGCTTTTATGGCTCTTCTCACCAAGAGGAGTCGCAATTTTCGAGTATTCGTGAGGTGTTGACCAACATTCGCTCGATGCTCTCGAAAATTCTCAATGATTCTCTTGCTACGAGCTGTTTTTCTTCAAAATATCTCCAGGTTTAGAGCGCTAATACTTCTTTTGCCTGCTGCGGCGCGGCGCGTACGCCTCGCGCTGTTCGTTCTCTCTGCGACTCATAGACGTGACAAGTTAATTGCGATTGTATTCTTTTCGTAAATCTTTTGAGAGTGACTGCTCAAAATCTACACAGATAAACTTTCCTCTGTAATTTTAACTCATGACTAACTCAGATTTCCTTTCAGTGCTTGCAACTCGTATTTACTGGATTTCATCTTTTCCTCAAGTACTATCAATTAGCATCACTATTACCTTGGTAAATAGCTTCGTTTTGTGGGTGATTTACAAGCTTTTATAAGTGTAGAATGTGGAATTCATTTGATCGACATCTTTTTTATTGTTATTAGTTATTGTCAGATCTCCGAGCATTGTTCTTGCTCGCGCCAGTAATGCCAACATTTTGCGCGCGCAATTGGGCGGCGTCACAAAGGCAGTTATTTGTTCACGCGCAAATTTTAGTGCATTTCACCTGCAGTGCGAGCACACTATATTGAGCAAAAAATCTACTCGACTGTACTTCCATTACAAAAAAGGTTACTAGAAATTTTTTGCGGCATAGGTAATTTCACTTGCGTGGATAAGAGTTTATTCTACTTTCCATAGCAGCGGGTAGGGGAACGAATGTCGCCAGTTTGGGCAGCCTCCGCGGACTACTGGTCCTGGAACGACATGCAATAATATTGCAAAAGGACCAGTTGGCCGCGAAAGGCGACTGAAACTGGCGGCCTTTGTTTCCGTACCCCATAGCAGCCTATCACTTAATTTTTCATCCGCTAATGTTTGGCGTATTCATTCATGACTGACCTTGCCAACTGATGGGGTGATTTCTTGATTGTTGATAGGTTCGTGACGTCAAAGTGCATATATCATCTCGACTCCATCCACCTATCGCTGACAATTCGTGGTTACATGATGTGTTGCACTAAACTGAACCTATTCTTATCGCTAGTGCAATTTCTACACTCAAGCAATTTCATTGTTCTGCTTCTCAAAATTGTTTAGTTTGCGTTTTATTGATATTCTCAGGATCATGAGTGCATTTTTTACTGAAAATTTGATATTATATTGTAGAAGTGTCATTTTTCTTATCCGTGAGCTATCAAAATACGTATAGCTCTAAACAGTCTTCATCACTGTTATTTTCTAAAGATTGCTGAATTTTTTCTGATCTGGGCTTGGTAAAAAAAACACAAACAACTGCATAGGTCTTGTTTACATTTTTACACATGAGAAACGGAGAGAAAACATGCCAATCAATTAGAAGAAAAGAGCATTTAGATATTAAAAAATATTTACGAAGATGATTTCTCCGGCGACAAAAACACTTCAAAAAATATGAAATTGGGCATTCTTTGAGCAGTTCAATAAAAAAAACGTGGGCAACCTCTTTAACTGATTACCTTTTGAAGTTTTCCCGTGAAAATAAATTTATACTAGGGTGTAAACAGAATCATTTTTCCATGAAAAGAAAATAAATATGAAACACTTTTCGTTGATTACGTATCGTCACAGTACATTGTCAGCCTTTGGAAGGAAAATTCGCTGATAATAAAAAGTGGGGAAGGAGAACGATTTACAGAGCATAATATTGTGATCCAGATTTTTATCGATATTCGTTCTCCACAAATTGGGCGTAATGGTTTGGAAAACAGTCGTACGTAGGGAAAAATTGTGATAATATATTGTTTTTGCATCACCTATAGGAACCCTCCCATCTTCTTGCAGCCTAGGTATTAAAATAATCTCATCTGCACTTTCTTGTGTTCCATCAGCCTAATAGGGTACAAGCATAAAAAGCTATAAAAGAAAAACGCGGAAAAACTTGGCAAGAAATCCTTTCCATCAGCTTCCACATCCCATGTTTTAGCATATTTCCGGATTTGCGGTGTTTTTCTGATGTGTTCACATCAAATTAAGTCAAGAAATTATGTAGGAAATGAAAGCTCTTCAGTTTTTATGTCAAACACTTGTAAAATCAGTTTTGTATGTTATCGACGCTATGAAGACATTTATTGCCAGATGAATGTCCTAAAAAAACGAAAAAAAAATTATCCTGCGAGCCGCAATGGACTTTTTACTTGCAATATCTAGTCATGTGGAGCTTATGTGCATTCAAGCTCTTTATTTCCCATTGTGTGCATTACCTCTGAAATGCTTTTATTATTCATGTTAAGCAATTGCCATGAGTTAGAATTTGTAGTTTGAAAGGGAAATTTCTTGTGTACTTCAGAAAATTTCCTAAGGCTGATTGATTTCTCTGGGAGTTTTTAGTGTCAATGTGCTCTTTTCTTTTGTGGAGTTTCATTTATTTGCTCTAAAACTTTCCAGTTTTTTTGGGCGGGGGGGGGGGGGGGGAGGGAATTGAATATAGTGCTAGCTTGCTTTGTTCTTGTTTGATAATCCATATTTTCAGAGCGTTCACGCTTCTTTTGTTGCTATCTATGAAATTCATCAGAATGGTTCTCTAGTTTTTGAAACTAAATACCATCTTTTCATCCTTATATATTATAGAAGCAACTTCATTCTTGTGTGTATCGATCAATTCTGTCATTGGTGAAGTTGAAGTTACTCTTCTGTTGCAAATTATTTTAACTAATGACCGGACAGTTTCTGTAGTGTTCTTGCGTTACCGACAACATTTTCGCGTAAAAAATGGCAATGTGTTCCGTACCTGCAAATATGCGTCCTTGGCCATTTTTTACGCGCAAGTATTGCCAACACCGCAGAGGTATACATTCATAGCCATCACATTTATTATACTATAGAGGATGTACCGAAAAGATTTGATTACTGTTTGACTGTCAATAACTCTCTTGTAATGAGGCCATTCGTGAAACTTCGGGTACAGTTTTTTAGGACTGGCTTCAACTTAGGCTTGCAGTAAGGGCCCAATCAAGATCCTAATTTCAAGACTGTAGGATTACGGTAGGAACTCGCAGCATATGGCGCCGCTGTAAAAAAGACCGTTGAAAAAAAATTTAAAAAATCTAAAAAATCGTGTAACAAGATTTCCATGCATGCTGATTTCAGTACACAAAGATGAATAGCAAAAATTGACTTTGCGCTGTATCTGGCATAACTTATGAAAAATGCGTTACGGTAAAGCTCGAGTTTCATGTTTGGAATCAGCGACTCTGACTAAACCAATGTAGGAGCGCTCAGCTTCCTTGGTTCTATTTTAGGAATGAAATATGACCCAGATTTTCTAGCAACCCTCCTCGAAGTTCCTACCGTAACAAATTTCTGATTTTCTGATTTAACGAATTTCTTTAACCACATTGTAATTTTAAGTAAGGAGCTCTACAAAATGCTACCTAATGCTTCTTGAAAGACTCCATTACAAGAGAGTTGTTAACGAACAAAAAATAGGCACCTCTAGAACATCCTGTACTTTTCCTTCCTTGTTCGCTAATGTGAAGTCTTTTTTCCTTGTATCACTTACTTATCAATTGTTATTCCTTTTCTCAGTGACCATAAACCATATCTAATTCTGATTGCACGGAATTTTCCAGTTTAAATGATTGATTAGCTGTGTATACGACGCCGTTTTACACCGCTACTCAGTTTAACGCTTTCTATTTTCGTAATTGTGAACATTCTCAATCAGCTGTGTTCCAGATGGGTTATGCCTCTCGCCTATTTCCGCCATACTTTAAGTATGCTGTATTTCTCTTCGTTGGATTTCAATTTCTATACTGTGCCTTTGTACTTGCTATCAGGTAAGCTTACGAATTTTCTGCTTGAAAATGACTAATTTTTTATGACCAAAATTGTTGATGGTCATGTAGCCATTCCGGCATTGATCGCAGTAGCCATATGCTATCAGTTCAAGAAGCGTCGTAAACTGATAACACAGACAAACAAGATTTTGTTGCAGTACAAGGCAAGCAATCTGCATGGTCTTCGAAAATCGGGAGACGAAACTTTTCAGCCCCGAATTTTTTCGCTGATCTTTGAGCTCAGTGGCAACGAAATCTGTCGAAAAGATTGCGAAGGTGCAAGAGTTTGGACATTTGAAGCTTTATCACCAGAGCTTGGCATAGGTGGCTTAAAAGCAAGCTGGATATCGTTTTTGGGACAAAAAAGCGAAGGGGATATCGTTTTTGTGGCCGAAAAAACACAACTTAGGGTAGGTTTTTTAGTCGATGTTTGTTTTCTGAGGGTTTTTTAGGTTCATGGTTTAGGCTTAAAGGGGGCTTCATAAAATTCAGGGAAGGAGAACTTCGTATTTTGCATTTTCCAAAAGCCACCTCGTGCCAGGCCCTGCTTATGATTCGTACAATTTTTGTAAATAAGAAGTGCCAGCTTGTAAGACTTTTGGCGAGGATCAGGCTGTTCGTTGCATTGCATCATGCCAATCTTATATTTCAGGGTGAGGCTGGCTTTAGAAGAGCAGAAATATATGCGCAACAGAGATTTTGAAAGGGAAGAGTGGATTGGAACAGGGGAAAGCAAAAAAACATGATATATTATATAGAACTCGTAAAACATCCATTCTTCCACAAGTTCTTGTTCAATGGTCAACTCCTAAAAGTGCATCAACACGTGAAATGTGTAGAAATCATTTATCTAGGTTCTCATTATGTTTGAGTTTTATGTACTGAGCTATGCCTAGTGTCTTGATATACGTATTGCACACCACACGCGCTACTTCACGACTTCCTGTCGATCTCCAAGGATTTCTTAGGAAATCTAAAAAGAAAAACAACATGATTCTTATGTTCAAAAAGAATTCTTTGAAAGTCTTTGAGAATCATAATTTTGTATGTGCCTTAATGAAAAATATGCACATATTCACATCTCGCACAGAACATCGAAAAATGCTCCTCGTTTTTCAGACTATCTCTACTTCTTGACTTCCAAGCTCGAGAAAAATTCCAACTGCATGTCTTGAAAATATCGGAATGTAGAAGTTATCTTGTCTAAATTCCAAGAAAATTAGACAAAAATGAAGTAACTTCTATCAAAGGGCCTCAAAGCTTATCGTATCCTACTTTTTTTTTTTAGAAATTTTATGCATACCAGTCATTTCAATTACAGCGAGGCTTACTATAAATCTGCCGCACTTATTCTGCCAATAGCATATCGAATGTTCGATGATACTGTGAAGAAAAATGTGCCCGGTTTTGACTGGACGCCTGCTGAGCAGTCTCAACTTGAAATGGTCAGTGTTGGAATTTTACTAAAAAATCATTACCTAAGTGAACGGTGTGACTTATCATTTATTAAAATAATTTTAGTACAAATATAAAATGATGGTTCTATGGGTGATGTCAACGATAGGTGTACTGCTTTGCATGATCATCATCATTCCACAATTCTTTGATTTCAACAACAAGAGAGGAGATCCTAGTCACTTGGTAAGCTTGAATACCTTCACTATAGTATCATCCAAATATAAATGCCCTTTATATACTTCCGGCAGAGGCGAAAGCCTTTTTGAAAACACATTTGCCAGCGTTTTTGAATAGTTGCTTATCTGACCTTTCAAAACTAGTTCTATTACCAAGCTATGAGCCGATAGGAACTCTCGATTCTAAAAGCATTCTAATCGCTCCAGCCTATTTTTTGAATTACTTATTTGAAATGAAACTATTCAAGAAATCTCTATTAGATGTTGTAATAAAAGAGGAAATTTATTAGACTACCGTTCCGGCTTCTCTGGAGCTTGCCAGAACGAACATATTTGTAATCTAGCCTCCCAAATGCACTGGATTATCATATCGGTGCAACCCAAGCTAATGGAATCAAAAACAAACGAGAGACGCGAAACAAGTTAGCCTTTCGTTATAGTCTTGCATTCAGATAATCGCCGGGGGCAGGCGGTCCGCAAATTCGCGCTTTTCTGCGGGCGGTTGGCAAATAAACTCTTTCAGCGAGCGCTGGCCAAACTTTCAGCAGGCGCTCGGACTTTTGAAGTAGTTTCGTGCGTACTCCGAGCAAAGGTGAGACTCTATGTGGCAGAGATGTCATCGATGGTTTAATTACCCGAGTTTGAAGTACTTTCTCTTGTTGTTAGCGGAAGATATCTACGGACTGCACGGTCCTCCACAAAGGACCATGTGGCTTTCAATAATTTTGCATATTCTGGCGGAAAGTCCGCGAGAATGTGGCCACTGCGCCGCAACTAATCTATAGAAAAACCGCGATTGTTCTCCAAACATTCATTTAAAAATTGGCCAACATTCTTTCAAATTTCTACAAGCGGACCGCAAAAAGTCAGCGAACTATTTTTCCGGTGTCCGCTTGCCCAAAAATCACATGGCCGCCTGCCCCCGGCGTTTATCTGAGCAGCCAAGAGTAGAAGTAGTATTAGGCCTCGGGCATACCTCACGCGATTTCAGTCGCCACGCGATTTGGCAATACTCCACATGTTCATAACTCATCCTACGGGGTTTCTGAATGTACGGAAGAGGGGGCATTTTATCAACCTACGAAAGTTATACATGCTGTGCATTTGAGGTCTTCCAGTATTGAATTTGAAGACATATGGCAAATTGCCAGATCGCGTGGCGACTGAAATCGCGTGAGGTATGTCCCTTGCGTTACAGCGAAGCGGCGCTGTCATGATACTGGTATATTCAAATCACTCTCTGCAACTAACTTCGACCCACTAGGTCAAAACCCATAAAGGGTCTGGAATGGTGCCACTCAGATAATCGCGGGGGGGGGGGCAGGCGGTTCGCAAACTCGCGCTTTCTTGCAGGCGGTCAGCAGAATTTTGGGGCGTGGCCAAACCTTTAGCGGGCGGTACCTCCTTTACTGTCGGATGTCCTGCTAGCGGGGCAGAATACAGAGTTTTCTGCAGGCGCTCGTCAAATAATTCTTTCAGTGAGCGCTGGCCAAACTTTCAGCAAGCGCTCGGACTCTTTCTAAGCAGTTTCGGACATACGCCGAGCACAGGTAAGACTCTATGTGGTACTCAGACAATCGCCGGGGCAAGCGGGCACCGGAAAAATAGATGGCTGATTTCTTGCACCCCGCTCGCCGATTTTTTGAAAAGCAATCAGGACTTTTCGGGACGCCGCTTGCTGAGTTCTCGATTCCTCGGAGATTTAGCAATATATCTGCAAAGGATAAGAGCGAAAAAAGATTCAACAAGCGGTCTTTCAAAAACTCGCTGAAGATTTTCCTGGAACTTGCGAGCGGAATGCGAAATGTCAGCAACGCGTATTTTCCGGCGCCCGCCTGCCCCCGGCGATTGTCTGAGAGAGGTATCACCGTTGGTTTGATTACTCATCTCAGCGGAAAGTACCTGGGGGCTGCGCGGTCCTCCACAAAGGACCGCGCGGCCCTCGAAAAATTTGCATATTCTCGCAGAAAGTCCGCGAGAATGCGGCCACTGCACCGCAACTAATCCATAAGGAAATCGTGATTGTTCTCCAAGCATTCGTCCAAAATTTCGCCAAAATCTTTCAAATATCTGCAAGCGGACCGCGAGAAATCAGCGAACTATTTTTCCGGTGCCCGCCCGCCCATAAATTGCATGGCCGCCTGCTCCCGGCGATTGTCTGAGAAGACAGCATTTTCAAGCGCTCGCAAGTAATTTCTTTCAACGAGCGCTGGCCAAACTTTCAGCAAGCGCTCGGATTCTTTTCACGCAGTTTCGCCGAGCAAGGGTGAGACTCTATGCTGCAGAGTTGTCATCGGCGGTTTAATTACTCAAGTTTGAGGTACCTTCTTCAAAGGCAGTGGGTCGGCAGAATGAGACCCGTGGCAAAACAAGGTCACAGGGTAGGAGCCCCATAATGGAACCTATGGGCCAAAGTTCGATTTTTCTTTGCCACTTCCAACCCCCGAAATTTCAGAGCGAAAGCAGCGCTCATCTCCTGTCCTCTCCGAACCCGCCCACCCCATGAACGAGTGACTTCCGCGGTCAGAGCGCCAGCCGCAATGCTATAAGCATGAGGTCCCGCAACGACTCTGCGTCTTCGCCATGACGGGCTTCGCGTTCACTCGTCCATGGGGTGGGCGGGTTCGGAGAGGACAGGAGATGAGCGCTGCTTTCACTTTGAAATTTCGGGGGTTAGAAGTGGCAGAGAAAGATCGAACTTTGGCCCATAGATTCCATTATGGGGGCTCCTACCCTGTGACCTTGTTTTGCCACGGGTCTCATTCTGCCGACCTACTGCCTTTAAGCGAAAGGTACCAGCGCTAATTTCGCATCTCTCGTTTGTTTATGACTCTATCAGCTGTTGGGTGTACCGATATGCTGGAGATTGCATTTGAGAGAATAGATTACAAATATCTTTGTTCTTGAAGGGCCTGAAGAAGACGAGATTCCGTAACGTCAGCCCAATAAATCTGCATAATAATCTTGGCCTTAGCTACAACATCTACTAGAGATTATAGAAGTTATGTCAAGATTCATTGACGGTCGGACTTAGAATTTATTCAAATAACTTGTTTGTATTCTTAAATGGAATACCATCATTGTCTCAAAAATTCTTTAGATTCAGCAGAGTATTGCGTTCTCTGAAATTTCAACGCTCGGTTTCTCGAAAATTCATTGATTATGGCCTTTTTGGAGATCTTTTCCGTCCGCTCAGTGTTTTGAGAGAGAAAATGCAACCGCAGACATTGAAAACATCGTACAAATGGCATGGCTTTCTGTTATTCAGTTGCAGTAAAATATGAAATGTTCTCTGCATTACAAAAAAATCCGATGTTCAAAATTTTCTGCAAATTTGAATCAGGGAAGATGGAAAAAAGCCAACCGTGTCTCTTTCAATTTTCAAATATGTTAGACTTATGTTAAGCTTCTAGTTTGTACAAAAATGTTTAAAAGAGTTTAGCCCGTCAAAAATTTATAGAAACCTTAAAGGATATCCTAATTCAGGACATACATGTGCTGCATTTGCCTAATAAGGACGTTAAGATCAGCGCAAAACAAATATGAAAGTTCCATTCTATTTTCCAGTTTACCTAAACGCGGTACCTTGAATACATCTTCTTCAAAAATCTTCTCCCCTTTTTGCGCATCTTCCTTCATTATCAAACTTTCCCGGACTTCCATCAAAGTCATTTTTTGTATCGTAAGCATGATAAACATACCTTCTTCTTTTACAGTGTCTAGTCCATCGACGGTTAGCATGGGTGATGTTCGGCATTATGGCGGTCTTTGTCACAGCAATGTTTGCGGCTGTTCTATGGGCATGGTTGGGAGGTGGAGCAGCGTCACGATCGTTTCACGAACACTTTGCTGCTGCCGAAAAGGAAGAGGTGTTCCTCACGGAACTTGAGGAAAACCTCGATTGCATCACCGATGATGACAAGGAGGTGGCTGATGAGCATGTGAGCGTGGCGTGGTCCTTTCCTGACACTTTCTTTTTTTTTGTTCTTCAACAAGCATGCTCTGTCTTTCCTGTATAGACGGTTAAAGCTAAGAAGGAGGATTTTGTGATGAAATTGCGTGCAATTCCTGAGTGATATGTTCCCGAGTGTCGTGCATGTGCGTTGCTCAGTTGCAATTTCAGGATTATGACGAAAATACCGCTCACCTACGAAAACAAAGCAATTTAAGCATAGATCAATAGACTATACTCAGTTAGAATTATATTGACTTTGGATTTTTGCGCTCACAAAAAAACAAGAACAATTTGTGACCGTATCGTGGATAAATCACTGTTACGCCCTAATCGCAGGCACACTAGATGGGGGGGGGGGGGGAGAGAATCCAGTGAACGTCAGGCTGTCGGTAGTCGCCCTTTCATAACGCGAGGGTACAGAATACACCTAGAACAACGACAAATTAAAGTAAAATCAACGTCACAAATTAGTTGAACTAGGTACCGATCATACACATTATAGTAATGCCGACCGCTAAGTTTCCCTTGTGAGGCAATGAATTTCTGAAGTTTCCGAAAATTTTAACATTTACATGCTCGATCTTGTAAATTGAGTAAAGCAATTGATTTTTTTGAGAAGGGTCCATGATCGGCATACAAATGTATCCCATTGCACTAAGTTTTGACTTTATTGAAATAAGCGTAACGCTGCGGAAGCGGCTGTCAGATTAGTAAACAAACACCTAATCGTCATAGTAGTTTATTACGAACAATAAGGCAGGATACGATATGATATGGTACCAGAAGCAAGCAAAAAACAAATGATATGTAACGTCGCTAAGATACTGCTGGAGATCTGTAGGTAGCTGGATGCTGGTTGACCGCATTGGCGGGTGTTGGTTGCAGACGTGGCGGCTTGTAAAGAGATGGGTAGGCCTAGGACAAAGGTTTGGAATAGTCGGTTGGTACTCTTCATGATGGCCAGTATCTCATGCCATAAATTGCGCATCCCTCATATCTTTAACAGTTGGTAGTTGATCTTATCATGATATACGCACATGTCTATTAGCTTAAGCTTACATTGGACGAACCAATAAATCGGTAAAAGAGGTCAAAATAAGAGTAGTAAGAATTTCGTTTGTTATAAGCATGCATGCTCACTACCCCCTTCTCCCAGCCAGTTTTTAACTCTCTAAAGCGTGAAATACACATGAAATCATTGAATTAGCAATAACATCTGAAACTCATCCAGTGCAAATATTATATTTTATAGTTTATGTGTGCGAAGATTGGTTCAATCAATAATTCCTTTCATTTTAAAAAAGAGTTATTCAAATATTAGGCAATGATGTTCTATCAAATGTCTTATGTACGCATGGCTAATTTTATTTTTTTTTATTTTTTATTTTTTTTATTTTGATTTGCACTCAGGGTGCACCAAAAAAAGAAGAAGAAAGGAATAAGAAACACAACCAAGCAAACCAGAACTGAAGTACGAACTAGGAAACAGATCAAAGTTAGACATCCGTAGAGTCCCCCACCTACAAAATTATGACCATTTTCCCTTTTAGGAGTGTCAGCGAGCCCCCGGTGCCAAGCTAGCTGACATGGCCCCAACAGAAAAATTTAGGTTTCATTTTGGAGGTGGGCAGGATTCAGTAGGATGCAAGAAGTAATGAGAAACTTGGTTACACGGAAGTTGTAAACACAGAACAGATAACAGAAAATCTTCCGCAGCGGTCACTGTAGAAACGGTGCGGCGCAGTACATAAAACAACCGAAGTAACACATAGAACCACAACAGAACAGCCTTAGAAGAATCTGAAAAAGAAATGATTGTCGAAATAAAATGAGAAAAAGGTAAGAAAAAGAGGTTGAAAAGAAAACAAAAAAAATTCAACAACCAATTAAGGATCCTTCCATGACTCAAAGCTGAAAGAACCTGAATATGAATGTTTACTTATGCACTGTTGTTCATCCACAATCTCCACACATCCCTCTATAAGAGGGATCTCCGGAAAATCTGGATGAACAACCAACAGCAACCATCAACAGAGGTAATTTCCACAGTTAAGTATACTTTCTAAATCAAGCTCTTGTAAACCCCTTTTAAAAATCTCACTATTTTTGGATGACAATAATTTAGCAGGCAGACGTCGGAACCAACGTGCGCAGCGGTAGAAAAGAAAGTTGAAAAGTCCAGAATAGTTGTATTTATTCAGCCTAGGATAGCAGAGATTGAAACTAAAGCGTCTGCAGCCAACGGGTCTAAAGACCCAAAAGCTGCTGGCGCTCAGATCTACCTCTTTTCGCAAAATACGAAAACAGAAAACAAGGTCAGCAATACTTCTTCTGGTTCTCAGCGACTTCAATCCAGTCCTTCTAAGCCGGTCCTTATAATCTGGTACTGTTCTAGCAAAGGTATTTTGAGTTCGAGAAAGAACCATTCTTGTGAAAATGCGTTGAACTTTTTCAACTTTAGAACTTTGCTTCATACTTACTGGATTCCACACCTGGGAACAGTATTCCAAATGAGGAACCATATAAGCCTTGTATAATTTCGTCAGAATAACAGGGTCAGTACTGTGGATGTTTCGCAAAATTGAAAATAGTGAAGAATAGGCTTTCTTTACTGCGTAATCAATGTGCTCTTTAAAATCAAGTTTAGAATCCACATACACGCCCAGATCTCTTACTACGGAACAAGGAACCAACTCTCTTCCATTAATTTTGTAATTGATTGGCAAAGTCTTGCCTAAATGCGCATAAATTTGAAATTTGATCCCTTTAGAATTCATCAAATTTGGGAGATCAAAAGTAAATATCAGAAACAGTAGTGGAGATAGCACCCCACCTTGGGGGACACCACTAGAACAGTGATATCGACCAGAAAAAGACTGTCTCATTCTCACTGTCATAAATCTGTCTGAAAGGTAGGACTCGAACCACATCAAAAGCTTCCCAGAGATGCCAAAATTCTGAAGTTTCCACATTAGCAGTTCATGGGGAATCTTATCAAAGGCTTTTGAGAGGTCCACGTAAATGATATCAACTGACATATTGGAGTTGAGAGCTTTTCTCCACTCAAAAACACTTTTCACTAAATTAGTAGTGGTACTCCTCCCAGCAACAAAGCCGTGGAGTTCCGGTGGAATCTTTTTATGTTTCTTGATCCAACAGACAAGCTTATTTCTTATGATTCTTTCCATCACTTTCACGGGAGTGGGAAGCAAGCTTATGGGGCGGAATTCGGATACTTTATTTGCTATAGAGGATTTCTGGATAGGAGTAACCATGGCTTCCTTCCATAATCCAGGGACTTCACCGAAGTACATGGAAAGATTGAAAATGTCACATAGAGGCTCCGACAAGATTTCTGCACTTTTTTTGTAAATAATTGGAGGTATACCGTCGTAGGGCTCCGTGCATGAAGATTTGAGGGAGCTGAGAATTAATCTCACATCAGCACGTCGAAAATAGACCATGTCACAGCTGCTTATGGCATCAGAAGCTTCAGCTAAGGGTTGAAACACTTGACTAGGTGGAGAATACACACTAGCAAAGTATTTACCCAAGGCAGTTGCCTTTTCACCATCACTCGCACATACTTTATTGGAACTGTCCAACAAAAAAGAGGAAGTGGTGCTAGTATGTAATTTATTGTGCATATATCTGAATAGCTTCTTCAAAGATGCTTTGGAAGATAACCGACGCTCATAATTTTTCAGAGACTTCTTCAGATGATAATTCAAATCCGAACAGACTTTTAAGTATGAAGAATTAGTCAGAGGGTTTTCCAAAATATCGAAAAGCCTCCGTTTTTGTTCAATGAGTTTTTGAATATGAGTCGGATATCGGGCTGACATAGCGTTACTAAATTTTTTCAAACACCCAAATACACTGAGCCCGTTGTAAATTTTCCCAATGGCTAATGACAAAATTTATCGCTCTTCTCTCAATCTTCGTGAGTTGAGCTCCAAACGAATGCTAAATCGGGTGAAGGGTTCAAAAGAGATCAAGCTTATGAGATTGTCTATGCATGAGTAACGAAGTGCTTGTCCAGGGTTGCACCAGTGATGCACAAGTAGTGTTTTTTACAACGATGAGTTTCCTCTTATAGGCTGTGTAGAGTTAGATCTATGCTCCCGCCCTATACCCGCGAGCTTTAGCGCTTCAAAATGGGTTCCAGGAACTTGTTGTAGGAAACAGTAAACGAAACCGCTCGCGCGAGTTCGTATCCTAAGCTGGAGCAGGCTATATTTTACACAACCTATGCTATTCACTGCATGCAGAGTGGGGCTTGGTCAAATATTGTTCAAAGTGTGAAGCACATTTGATTGTAGAAAAGCATGCTTTGTTCAAAGCTCTATGCAGTATTAACATTCGAGAGCTCCCTGAATGATATGTTCCAGAGGTGCTGGCAAAACGTATCCATAAGCTTCGTACATGATCTCTGGCTCGATCTCTTGCTCTACGTTTACCTAGTCGGCAATGCACTGGCTTTCTTCGCCATACCATTCTTCAACAAATGTAAGTTTTTTTGATTTGACCATCTGCCATATAATTCACAGTATGAAAGTTTATGAGAAGATCTCTAACGAATAAATACTGTTTTCATTCTAGTACTAATCAAATCTGATGATGAAGCAGCAGATGCGAAACTTCTCGACGCATAGTCACTTCTTCAATATTGAATCCTTTGAGGGTGCATAGCTAATTCGAAGACAGGTCGTCTGGTTCTTGATACTTTCATTATTGACTCGGTATCTCATTTACATTCACGTCTTCGGACCACGTGAAACCATTCCCGTTTGTATGGCATACTGTATCGTACGTAGTATGTCAAGGCACAGCTCAGTCAGCTCAGTGTGATTTTCGCTTTCTTATGGGTCATATTTCTCGGAATATTGTTGCTCATTTTTTCAGCTCGTTTTGCTCAAAAGATATGATTCTGATATAATTTATGATGTTGTTTATATTTGTCATTCTCACTAAGATTTTAGATATACTTACATTGATCTTATATTCCTGAAAATATTCCGTGTATGCTTTCTTTGAAAGTAGCATAAATGCTACGAGAGTTCCCAGAATGTCTAACATCATCTCTGTATGGTATGCATATTTTCTAGATGTTGAGACATCAATAAAAGTTGCCTTCAAACAAATGTAGGAGCTGTTTTATCGGGGTGGTCATCCGCGCAATGATGCCGCGCATGCGAGTCTTGTGCACTGAAATAAAGTTAAGCGCAGTGCTCTTCTCAACTCAAATCCATATTGGCCTTCGCATAGGTAGTTTTTTACTACTGAATATATTCAAAGCATAGTATTTGGCGTCTCACTAACATCTGCGGGCATTCATCGACCACTTCTGCATCATAGCCGAAGAGGGATAACAACCTTTACAGTGACTTCAAGCTGTCATCAGTTACCCAGTCAGTGCTCTGATTCTCTCAGATTGCTCTGGTACCAGTTTACCATTCCGTAGGGTAGAGGTTATTGTCCTCAGGCGGAGATCAAATCTTAGCTCGATCTCGTCATAGCGGCGCCTTATATCATTACGCCACTCTTCAATAACACTATATCCTCCTCCTATTAATTTTCCGTCGTTTATCCTCACTGTTCGATCAGCATCCCATGTTTTTGAAAGCGACATCGTCTGCAAAACAGAAATCAAAAAAAGCTTTCATCAACTTGTAACTTCGTTCATTACAATCCACTGAATATATCGTCGAGTCATTCGTAACTTAATATGTGAGACTGCACACAAAGCCTTTCAATGTACGGCACCCTTAACATTAACTTCTCGATCAAATCTTTTCTAACGTAACAAACTGTAAAACTGTGTACTACTAACCAACCAATATCCTATTAAACTAAAAGAAGCAAAAAAACAAAGTGAAATCGCTGAAACGAGCAGGTTCCAATCTTATAAGTTCGTCAAATAGCGCGTATGATGTACAATACGCATATTAAGTTACAAATGACTCGAGCATACATCAAAATTTTTCGTAGCGCACATTCAAGTCTTCTCCTAAATCTTTTATTGTTGTGTTAAAGTGTAAACGCATAAATGCCAGATCGCCAAGTGGCAATAAAAGTGATTCTGATGAACAATAAAAAATTTTTTGCAGCTTCTGCTTATAGCCTTCGGCAATGAAAAGGCGAAGGAATATGCTGGAGTGTGCTTTCGCAATAATCATTCTCAGTTAAAAGCAGTGGCTCGGCAAAACTGAGCATCTCGGAACTGTGACATGCTAGTTTACCTATATCCCAAATATGGAAACAGAGCAAGTCTGAGCGCACAGTATGCTGCCCCCGCGATACGCCAAGATAACTCCTCCGTGCGCGCAAGACATTCTTACATGCGCTCGGGAGAGCTCGCGATTCTCCCACCATTGGAGCAGCCGCACCGCAATATCATGACCATTAGGGTCCCGAACGACTGCGTTTTCAACATTGGCATGAACTGTTTCCAGTCGTCCAGATTCAAAGAAGGCTCCTAAAGAACGTTGACTTTTATTGCTAAACGCTTAGGCTCCTCACAAATTTTCCAGAATCCAGGTTCACAGACATCTTTGTACATAGGTTCCTGAAAACTCCTCCTAGCCGCTTCCATTGCTGCCTACAAATTTACCTAATGGATGGCGCGAAAAGAAAAAACTTTTTTGAAGTCCAAATGAAACTATCTGCGTAGTCTCCGTTTTTTGGGGGAATTATTCGAAGTTTCTCTCGTACGTTTCTACAGTTTTGTATTTTGTAACGGCATAGAGAATTGGAACTTGGATCGATTACTCTATGATTTTTCGACAAGATTTTTTTTGAAAAAATTTTAAGACTTGAAACACTAAAAAGCCAGGCTACTATTATGCCACCTTGAATAGCTGCGTGGGGAACATATAGCTGTTTTTGTCCGGTTCGGAATTGCATTGTGACAAAATTCAGATTATGAGAGCCGTCTGCGATAAGTGTGTCCATGTCGTGTGTTGTAGCGCGCCATCTTATAATCATACTAGACTGTGAACCATTACGGAAAATTCGCTGAGTAAGAGGAAGAAAACCTTTGACCGAGTGAGTGAGAAAACTGTCAGGTTCAGCGCATCGAGCACGGCTTGCTATGTGACCACTATATAGGGCACTAGTTGGCAAACCTGGCTCCGCTCGGGCTTGTCAATAATATATTTGTAATCGGCATGCTCGATTACCCCCTGCGCCAACTCCCAGCCCTGTAGCTCGAATTTTGCAAAAAATCGATAAAATCGATATCGATCGATAACGAAAAGTAGCCTATGACACCTGCCCTGCACCGAAGTGTATGTGTGCCAAGTTTGGTCCCGATCAGAGGTGCGATGGGGAAGCCGGGCCCACTAAAAGTGAAGGTGGTCTCAGTTACCCTGGCCTGCCAAAAGTGAAGGTGATAGTGGCGGACACTCCCACCCAAAAACGTCGACCGGCGAGGGGGGGGGGGGGGCGGGGGAGCACAGCTCGACGTCTCTTTTGCAAAAAATTTCTTTCTCAAAAGTTTCATAAGCTTCTTCACAATAAAAAGGAGAAATAAGAAGAACAAATTCAAAGGTTACTTACTAAATGTTTTTTCTCACTCAGTTTACTTTTGAAAAGTCGCCGTCGCCTACTGCGAGCACCCCAAGGCCATCCTGGCATGGACGCATCTGAGCCCTAGCGCTTCCCATAAATTCGGAGAACAGAGCTTCTTGATGAATTTCAAGAACTCCTGTCCAACGGTCCTCTTTAGGGCCACAAATACGATGAGTACAGCGGCATAAATATTTGAAATAAACATGTCAATCAAATAGTTATTTGCCTGCCGTGCCGCTGCATGATCGTCCGCGGATGGCTGCTATCTTGGCTCACGAACGTGGGTGCGATAGGGAGAGCCAGGCCCTCTCCAGGCAAAGGGACCCTCGGCTACTCCCATCCTTGTAGGGTGAAGGGGGTAAAGTGACTGGAAGCGAAATGCCCTAACAAGCTACACACCATTGGGAAGCTGAGGTCATGGAGAATCGAATAACACGTCGATTTTTTTAGGTACGGCCGGAAAATATGAGCGATTTCATCTGACCAATATATCAATTGATTTAGTGTGCTTTCTTTCTGCTCTCGTCTCGCAATTAAGAAGAAAGCTAGAAAAAGTCGACGGTATACGTTTATTGACGATGAGATAATCAGCGTAGACTCGTTGGGCAGAAATCTGCTGTTAAAAATGGACATAATTATAGATAAATGCGGTGTCTCTCTCGGTACATTGGGGCTAGAAAAAAGTCGACGGTTTATGTCGAGTCCCTGTTTCCCAAGCTTTCGAATGATATATAGCTTGTGGGGTGAAAAAATTTGGCAGTTCTGAAAAAAATGGGGTGGAGATATTTATTATTAGCTTCCCGCTCCTCCAATGTATTGGCTTTTATGGGTCAACGGAGCAAGCATTTTTTTTAAAACCAGGAAACACAATGCTCCAACAAGCTATATATAACTGAAAAGCTGAAATTATGTAGAATCGACGTAGACCGTCGACTTTTTTATATCTCTTTTTAGCGGTAAAATGAGGGATTCGCTAACAAAAAAATGCATTTAATTCTCTTTCACTTTATAAAGAAGAGTAATTTTACTAACGTAATCATTTATTACTAATGACAACCACTAAATATCACAACAAACTATTTTTACAGTCTTTAGGTAGACTTTTTCAGTTTTTACGCGCATCGACAACCTGGATATACAGGTGCGGCAAAACTCTGGGAGCCTAGTACTTTTTCGTACAAAACGAGAAGGGAAGTACCTAGAAATGAAGAATTTGGCGCACACATAATTCGAACCATTGTAGATACAGCCCAGTTCTTGAATTGCAAAACTGCCTCTTTTGGCTTCCACGCAGCCCTACAAAATCTTGGCAAGTCCATCTGTCATGGCACGCAGGTAGTCGTAATGAAATTCGCCCTACGCCTTCACAATAACTGCTTCTTTCACCTTGGCAAATGTGCAGCACGATAGAGCAAGCTTTTATCTACAATATGCCTGCAAAAGAATTTTTTGCATTGCTGAGAAATAAAAATATTGGATTTTCAATTAGAAGCAAGTGTACGTCGCATACCGCATAATCTATAGCTTTTAGATTTGTTCTGAAGGAGGATTTCCACTGGCACGTAGGTAACATTCGCAACCTCTTATTTCCGTTCATGAAAGAACAGCTCCTGGCAAAAGCAAAACTAGGATACAATAGCGCAAAGCCTCTTCTATGTTGTGTGCATCGAAGTTTTGTGAAATATTAGCAGCATCTTTAGCTACAGCAAAAATTGTAAATACTGAAAATTCTGGTTTTTTAGCTTTGCAAAAGTACTAGTTTGGTAATCTCCATTCTTACAAAAACATATGGCAGCCATTTCCAGCCAAATAAAGTGTTTTCTGTAGAGGATGACCGCAGCATCATGTGGCATAAAATTGAAATCAAAACCATCAGTATCTTTGTAATTGCAGTACTGCAAAGTTAGGCTCCCAGACTTTTGCCGCACCCTGTAAACTTACCATAGATATAGACTTACTTATTAGTTGGTTTTTTTCTTGCTTCTTGTTTATCCATCTCAAAACTGTGACAAGTCTTAGGCCAGTATGCACGTACATCCCCGCGGGGAGGGGATGTGAGTTTAACCATTGCAATGATCCCCGCTGGGGCTCCCCTCCCTTCCCCACGCGAATCCCCGTATGCAGAAAGGCAATACCGGAGAGAGGATCCCCTGGGAGTAGGGGAGGGGAGCCCCCTTATGCAGAAGGGGAGATCGAGCGGGGAATTCATTTTGCTTCCGTTTTTTTGCAGTAATTATTCTTTTTTTCTTATCTTTTGATAGCTACTCGCCTTCAATGTGTCTTGGCGATATTCAGTCGTTGCGGAATGCCGTCTGCCGTGATTGCGTAGGCACACTAAAGAAATGTTTCCTACATCCATTATATTCCAGCTGTTTTCATGGATGCTGCTCATTTTCGCCCATGCTGCCC